GAAACTTCCTAGAATTCGTATTATATTCATATTTATTTTGGGCCACGCCCCCTTAACTTCAAACTGCCGCTACAGCAAAATGAACGAATTGGCGAGTCTCAAAATTTCAGGTTTTTCAGTTCACATAGATATCACTGAGTCAGTGTGCCAAAATTTTTTTTTAAAAATCTATGACCCATGGTGTAATGCATTTGTTGAGTTGGCATGGAATGGCCCAACTCTTAAAAATGTTTGTGATTTCATATTATGTTGAAATATGTGTAGTTTTCAACATAGTATCTAGCCATGAGCTAAGTACCAAAGCTAAAATTTGGTTTATAGGTAGATCCAATGTATCTGAAATCTGCTTCTAATTACCTGCCAAATTACCAATTCAACTCATAAAGGCATATGAACCTGTTAGTGGCGGTTTTCATCGCTGTTGGTTTTATACTGAATAAAATAAATAAATAAATAAATAAAATAACATAAGTAGAATTTATTGCTTATATATTAACTATTCATTAATGTTTAATGGCATTGAACTAATTTACAGCAACATTTTACTACAGGTACTTAAAATGTGCTGTATGAAAATGAGAAGGTATGAACATTTTAAACAGGAATGGTAAACACAGCTAAATTTTGTGGACAATTTTGTTTTCTTTTTATATTAACTGTTCAAACATAATAACTTATAACAAGTAAAAATTTTCATGATTACATTTGATGTGACATTAAATGTAAATCACTGTTTTTCTTAACAACGTAAAATAAAATCCTTGCTCAACAATAGTTAAAAGGCATACTCAGGGGCGGAGGCAGTGGGGGGCCGGGGCCCCGGGCCCCACATCAGGGAGAAAATAAAAATTATATTTGTTTTCTACACATTAGCAGACTCTAAAATCGATTAAATAAGCCTTTGAAATCCCTAAATTGTCATATTTTTCTGGGAATTCGCACCCTGGTCCACTTTTGAAAGATTCTGTGTGATACCCAACTATGCCCACTTTGCTTTTGTTCAGACCCCGTCGTCCAAATCCTGGTGCCACCCTTGTACACTCTTGAAGAAAATATGTTAAGGCATACAGTAATTGTGATTTAGTCTTTATTTTGACAAGGAAAACCTCGTAAAAGATACCAACCAATCATGTAGTATGCATTACACTATACGATTCTTTTCATTCAAATCTGATTGTTTTCAAAATTGGTTTCTATGTTAAACAAACAATATATTGTAATTGTGATGCACGGTGTAAAGCCATGGCATATGTCATCTATGTTAGCTTTCCACTTGATCTAGGCAAGTCAAGTCAAGTGTTGTGATATTATTATTAACAAAATAGGAGGATGACTAATGTCCACCGTCCCCAGCATCATGTATGTACAATATGTATGTATACAATAAATAATCAATTTAATCATGTAAAATTAACATACCATAGTGTCAAGAATAGCTGCAAGTCACCATTATTACTCCAAAGATGATTCATATTCTTCGTCCATCTATTGATTAAGTGACAACGCAATATTCCCTGATGGTGATAATAATACAAATAAATTACAGATTAGTTTTACTTAAATGTATTTATTTACGTAGTTATTACTTAGACCAGAGATTTATTTAGGGCACATAGAAAAAATTGTTAGACCATCACTCACGCCTGCGTCAAAAATTTGGGAAATATTGATGAGGGAATAACAATTTTTTTTTTGCCACGTCATGTATTTCAACAGCATAAAGAAAACAATGCAATTTTGTGACAGGAAATACATTTTCTTTAAAAAAAACAATAAAATTAAACTAGTTTTTATACAATATTTACAATTATTGCCAAATAAAAACAGTCCCTCCCTCATCGACAATAAAAAAAACAATATTCTATTGTTCCAATTAAAAACAAAAAAAAAACAAAAAAAAACAAAAAAAAAAAAAACAAAAAAAAAAAACAAAAAAAAAAAAAAGTATAATCTAATCATTTTTTCTATGTGCCCTTATATTTATTTTCTTACATTATATATTCTTATATAACTGCTAGATGATTCCAAAATAAGTCACAATCTACATAAATAATACATTATTTTTATTAATAAACATAAAAATCAGCACCCAACTCTAACCAATCATTATGCACCACCTCCACCCACACGGGTGAACTCCTATGATGGGGTTGTTGAGTAGTATCGAACCAGAACTAGGCCTAGAATTTGCATAAATATTATTGTGCTATGCTGCAGGGTGCAGGTCAACTCGGCCACAAGTCAACTCGGCCACAAGTCAACTCGGCCACAAATCAACTCGGCCACAAAAAGTTCGGCTACAAGCCAACTCGGCCACAAGCCAACTCGGCCAAAAGTCAACTCGGCCACAAGTTATTTAATGTAAATCTATGTAGTTTTTGCATCCTTTTTCTTCAATATAATGATTAAAATAAGTACAGTATATTTTAGTAAAACAGGACCACCACACTACCAAAAGAGATTTAAATGCTATTGCCTATAAATTAAAGAGTTATTTATTAATGTGTTCGTCTTCTGTTTACTCACAACATTCTACTTCAACAATAATATTAAACAACAATAACGACAATAAATTAATAATATTTACTTTAATAAAACTAATTAGTCATTATGACGATAATAAAGGTGATAACAACAACAACAACATTAATAGTAATATTTATTTTAATAATACTAATAGTAATAATACTAGTATGGTAATAATAACGATATTATTTAAATATCAATTTTAATAACTAATTAGTGATAATAACGATATTGAAGGTGATAATAGCAATAATACAATAATAATAAATTAAAGATAATGTTTATTTTTATAATGATAGTAACACTAATTAGTAATAATAATAATAATACTTAAATACTAGGCCTATATACTTAGTAATAATAGGGTAATAATATCGATAATAAAGGTGACAACAACAACAATAATAATATTAATATTAATAATAATATGAGAAAAATACCATAAAACACCAATAACAATAAATTTTTAAATTACTATTATTAAAATAATAATACTAAGACTAATAAATAATAATAATAATTATAATAATAATAAATCAAAAATTATTTATTATTTATATGGTACTGTAATAAATATCAGCAAAAATTTGAACAATACCGTATATTATAGACTAATAATTATTATTAAAACTAACGGAAAAACAACAATAATAATAACAACAATGACAACAATAATAACAGAAATAATAATAACAATAAGTATAGTAATACTTAAAGAATTAGTATTTTATACTTGATGAATTACTCCTTCAAATTGTAGTACCAGTTAAAATGACTTGTGGCCGCGTTGACCTGTGGCCGAGTTGATTTGTGGCCGAGTTGGCTTGTGGCCGAGTTGGCTTGTGGCCGAGTTGACTGTACCCAAACTTTTAGTGGCCAAGTTGACTTGTGGCCAAGTTGACTTGTGGCCGAGTTGACTTGTGGCCAAGTTGACTTGTGGCCGAGTTGACTGTGGCCGAGTTGACTTAGTGGCCGAGTTGGATCAAATTCATGCTGCAGACCTACTACTACTACTATTAGTATTATTAGGTCTTACTAAACACAGCGATCATTATACTGTAGTGTGCTCATTAATTCTGCAAATATTTCTTAGTGCACACTAAGTGCACATTAATGAATGGCCAATTGGTCAAATGTGGATCCAGGAATTTGAAATGGGGGAGGGGTGGGTGACTGCTGGGAGGATCTTTTACAGATGGAGGGTCTAAACAACCCACCTAGGCCCAGGCTAGGACAGGTAAGGAGTACAATTTATTTTTAAATACTTGAATAAAACACTACTTCTTAGTTAGTCTAGCCTAGCTAGGCTGGGAGCCTAGGCCTAGTCTAGGAGGCCTACTACTAGGCCTAGGCCTACCAGGGCCTCAGTTGCATACTTACGTAGAACTACAACAACCATTAAATCAAAACATATTCCTTTTTGTAACTGCAAAAGCAATCACTGTTCAAATCTAAAATACTGTAGTATCAATCACAAATAGTTAGTCTAGCCTAGCTACAGCAGCTAACTAATTTTATGAAAACAGACCGCGGCGTATAATCAATTTGAAGTGGTGTCGATGACTCATGTTCTGCGACGAAAACGTAAACAAACTCGCTCGAGCGCCATGGTAATATTTAATAGATGGCGCTGTTGTGCATAAAAAAGTTCGCGAAATAATTTTCGGGGAATTTCCCAGACACCAAACCTAGAGGTCCTAGGGCTTAGGCCGAGAGATAAGAACGAACTAAGACGATAAGTCTCTGCCGTTTAAATCTAATGACAGTTTTTCTTTCGCGCAATGTCTGCCCTAGACCCAAAATATTATGACGCCTTGAAAGAGTACAGATCCGAAATTATAAAATGCATCGATGTCAACGATATTCTAGGTGAAATGACCACACTGATGCCAAAGGACGAAGAACGGATCAAGGCAGAACTTGATGTAAGGAGAGGGACCACGCAATCTGCTTGCATGGAACTTTTGGAACACATAAGGAGGAGAGGAAAAGAATGTTTTTTTGACTTCCTTTTAGCATTGCAAATGAACAAGTGTATGGGGGTGCTAAATCAAATTATAGACCGTGCAAGTTGTAGAGATGATTGGGAGAAATATTGTGAAACAAAATTAAGTAGAAAAGGTAATTTTCTAATAAATTATTTATGTGGTAGTAAAAACTATACTAGACTCTCTCTCAGAGAGACTGAGTGAGTAGGGCTAGTGTATGTAGGGTAGGCCTATTTTTTATTTATTAATTATATATTTTTGGAAGTAGATATATTGGCACATTTTCATTCGTTTGGACTCTCTATTTTAAAAATTAAGTGCCACTAATACAGTAGTGAATATTCAATAAAGATGATTATTATTATGGAGATCTGCTTAAGGGAATGTTCAACCTCCCACTCCCTGGGGAATATTCTTGGTTATGCACTAGGGGAGGGGGAATACGAGGGGCCAAGCACCGAGCATGGGGGGAGTTGGGCATTGACCAAAACACTGGTAGGCCATACATGGAATTTAATTCGAAAAAAAAAATTAGCTTCTTTTGGAGTAGGCCTAAGTGTACTGTGCACCCCTCATCTGTTCTTCTCTTCTTTTTTCCCTCTTTTTTTGGGGACCCGCCCCTGATACGCGTAATGAAACAAGCATGAAAGGCATGAACTGTTGAGGCATGAACTGTTGAGGCATGAACAGTTGAGGCACGAAAGCACAGTTCCAATCCATTACTTTTGAAATCACCATGCCATAGATTGGAACCCAATTGACAATTCATCATTATTCCATTATACAGGAGAAGTTTCTCAGACATGTAAAGAGGAGGCTGCAGTGGTTGCTGAGCCAAATTCTATTGATGTTAAGAAAAAAAAACAAGAACCTGTTTCAAAACATAGGCCTTTTACCAAAGGAAGAATTACTGGTGAAATAATAGCTAAGCAAGTTACTGAGAGCACTATAACCACCCGACCTCAAGTAGAACCACCTCAAGTGGTACCACCTCAAGTGGTACAACCTCAAGTGATGACAAATGCAGCAACCCAGCCAGGTACATTTATATTAAATAATACTGAATTTTTAATGGAATAAAAGAACAATATAATTATTTTATGTACATTAGTATATTCATATTTGATATCATATATCATATCATATTATTTATATCATCTTCAATTCAAGACATAACAGATAAACAACAATGAGAAAGAAAAACAGAAAAGGAACAATGCTAGCGAACACCAGACAGGATTGCTCAAAAGTGGCGTTAAGGCTACTCTCTGGGAGCCCTCCAAAGTGCAGCTAGCAACAAAATAAATAGTGAAGTTTATAACAACTGTAAATACACTGTTAATAAACTTTGTTATAGTTTGTAAAGTTTTAAAATTACACTTTTTTGATAAGAACACATTTTATTAGGACACTGAGGCTGAAATTGCTTAAAAATGAAGAACAAAAATAAGAACAAATTAAGGCTAGTCAAAGGTCAAATGCTGAGGTTTTTGTTTTTTTTTAACAAGCCTTATCAGTACCTTATGTGCAGTACTGTAGGTGTGACTATATATATGACTAATATACTGCTGTACAAGAATAGTGTTCTGTGTTTGAAATGTTTTAAAAATAAGAACAAAAAGGGAAAATTTAGTGTTTCTTATAAAAGAAAATGTGTAACATTCATAATGATATTTGGGGCTTTTTTTCTGGAAATTTTTTCTTAGCTCTTAATGAATGCAGTAAATGAATGAATATATGAATAATAAATATATAGTTTTGATTTACCAATTTGGATGTTAACTTGTTCCTTGTTATCAACTTAAATGTTTCTTAAATTCATTCAAATTTAATTTGAATCTGACAAGCTTAATTGCAATAAATCTTGTCATACATGCAAGCATAATAATTTATTTTTCTTACTCATTAGATCTTGGAGGCTGTCAATCAATCTCTCTATGTGATGTCGAGTGGGGTATTCTAATAAAGCAAGTACAAAAAGTGGAATGGTTACAACTGGCCAAAAAATTTTCCTTCACTGGGCGAGAAATGAAAGAAATAAGTAAGAATATATTAGTATATTCACTTTTGTGGCAATGATTTTTTGTCCATGTTTTTGGCCTATCTTTCTATTTTAAGCTTAAAAGTGTTGTTACATTATTCCCGATGTTTTGACAACCTTAGCAGATTTTCTCTTTTGGTTGATTCAACGTTAAACCTTCCATTTATTATATGTAAAGATAAATGGAGCTCTAGCTTAGTTAAACAATTTATTAATTTAAAACAATCAACTATCACTTTATTTTTCTTATGCTAAAACTAACTGTTATGCTAATTAATACATAAATTTCAAGTAGAAGAGATTCCAATATTTCTAAGGGAGGTCTTGCCAACCCCGTCGGGGAGAAAACCATAATTCTTTGGGGAGGAAAAAAATTACATGTATTTTTAAAAATATTAATTGACTCCAAAATCGATTAAATAAGCCTTTGAAACCCCTAAATTGTCATACTTTCAGGGGTTTTTTCGCCTGGACCAATTTCGAAAGGTTTTTGTGGGTTTTTAGCGACACCCGACCACGCCACTTTTTTGTCGTCTGGGACATCAGCTCCCTTGTCGGGGACATTGGACCCCCTGTCAGGGAAATTCTGGCGCCGCCACTGATGTAATATAAGGAAACAAAAAAGTACATGAGTTCATTGAAATTCATGCACCTTCTGCAACAGGGAAGTTGAAACAATTTTTCATATATTTAATGATTGTAAATATGTGTCTGCTTTTTTGAAGATATTTTCAAATTGATAAAATACCGGTGTAATCTGAACATTATTATTAATGAAAAGATATGTTTAATTGGTTTTCGAAGTGTAAACTAAAAGGCCTTAAATCAAGTTCTATTAATTGCAAGATATCACGTCTATCAAATTAAATTAAAAAGCAGAAACCAAATATAAATCAATTTTTTAGAGTAAAGAATCTCAATAAAAGTAAAGAATCACAATATAATACAGAAAAATATATTATAATAATAATAATGTTCTTAACCGTTCTGAATCGACAGAAGAAGTGGTTGTCATTGACTACCATAGTAGTTGACAAGCTTCAACTGTGCAAAACAAAAGGAGGACCCTAGAGGGAAAAAAATGTTATAGCTGACCTTATATTTCACTTTCACACGTTCCTTGTTTTTGTTTTCTTTTTTAGTATTAGCTAACCATCTAATTACTTATCTCCTCTTTGACTTTCATTCTATGCTTCCTTAACTTTCCGTGATTCCTATTTACCTACCTTTTCTTTCTTTCGTTTTCCTTTTCCTTTTAATTACCTTTTCTTTCCTTTCCGCTTTCTTTCTAATGCCTCCTTATGCATTATTTCTTTAGCTTTAGATTACCTTTTTAATATTTCCTTATCTTTCTTCTTTTTCTTTTTTCCTATGTATCCTTGATCTTTCTTGTATTTACTTTATTTCTTTTCTTTCCTTTTCATTTCTTATGCTCTTTCATATATATCTCATTTTATCTTATCTTATCATTTCTTTCGTATCCTGATTCTTTCTTTCTTATCATTTTCTTTCTTTTTACCATTTCTTAGGTTGCTTTGAATAACCTTTCTTTTTCTTTCTTATAATTCATTATTTTCATTCCTTTTTCTTTCTTATATTTACTTTTCTTTTTTTTCATTTTCTTTCTTTTGGTTTTAATTCTTTCTTTTCTTTTCTTTCATTCTTTCTTTCTTTCTATTTTTTCTCACACCTTTTGTAGGTGTTCTTGAATATCCTTTTCTTTATTATGTTTCAATCTTTCCTTTACTTTTTATTTGTTATATTTTTGTTCTTATCTTTCTTTATCTTTCCTTTCATATAATAATTTCCTTTCTTATAATCCCTTCTTCTCTCTCTTTCCATTTCATTCTTATACCTTTTCATAGGTGTCCTTGAATATCCTTTCATTTTCTTTCTTATGATTTGTTCTTTTCTTTCCTTTTTTTTCTTATATTTACTTTTCTTTTCTTTCCTTTTCTTTCTTTCTTCTCATTTTAGTTCTTTCTTTTCTTTTCTTTCATTCTTTCTTTCTATTTTTTCTTACACCCTTTCATAGGGGTCCTTGAATATCCTTTCCTTTTCTTTCTTATGTTTCGTTTCCTTTTCTTTCCTTTTTCTTTCTTATTTCTGTTCTTATCTTTTCTTTTCTTTCTTTATCTTCCTTTCATATAATTATTCCCTTTCTTTTCCTTTCTTAGGACAATTCATATGTTTATTTGCCTTTCCTTTCCCTTTCTTATGTTCCTTTCTATTCTTTCCTTTGTTATATGTACTATATTATTTTACTTTTCCTTAACTTGTCCTTTGCTTTTCTTTGCCTCTTTCTTTTCCTTTTTTTTTCTTTTCCACTTTCCTTACCTTTTTCCTTTCTTTCCAGTCATTTCATTTTAATTCCTTTTATTTATCTTTTGGCTTTCTAAGTATTCAGTCAAAATGTCATGCAGTGAGGGAGAAAATCAATAGATAACATACCTTGTAAACAGTCAGGTATGGTCAAAGAGGGCGTCGTCAAGATGCCATACGACTGGAAAGGGTTAAAATACATCTCAATGGATTTTCATTACTGTTTTTTTTTTTGTTTTTGTTTTTTTTTTTGCACATATATAATAAACATAATATAAACTTCTACTTGTCAGGAAAGAGTGAAAACCAAGAGGACAGATTTGTGGAAATATTGATAGATAAAGCAGATGAGAAAGTATGGACTTTGGAAACGCTACAATCCCACATAAGAGACATTAAAAAAGGTAAATTGAATGTCGTAGAAAACCAAGCTGTGTTAAAACACTCAAAGCTATTCAATTTAACTGATATCTCAAAGTGTCCTTTAAAAGCCAAGCTCCAGAGGGAAAAAAACTGTTGCCATATTAGACAAAAGGGGTATAACGCCCCTTTTACACCTGTTTTTAAATATTCTAAAATCTCTATCTGATTAACCAAGTTTTTTTATCAAGCACTGCCTTTTTGTGTCTTAGTAAAATAAATTGTACAACATATCAAACATTTTTTCCTCAGGAGCCTGGCTTTTAGCAATTGTCTCTGCCTTCTATGCTTTCTAATGTTCATGTCTGAGGTGTTAGTGGTAGATTTAAGAATTTGAAATACAAACATTATAGGTTTTATTCCATCCTGCCTTATTAGTTCCTATGCATGTAATGCAATAGAAACTATTGTAATCACTCTTCACATTTCCTTTATTTTTTATTGTGTGTAGTATGTGTGTGTGTGTGTGTGTAGACATTTATGCAAATGCACATGCGTCAAAGGAAAGTTTTCCGACATTTTGTTTTACCTCGCGATGCGAAGTTCGATGGGAAGTTTCTGCAGAGTTCAGTCAGGGCTCACGCTACCGATCGGCAAGTCGGCATGGATGAAACTATTTTGGTTTTACGGCAAAAAAAATCAACTGCTGTGGCATATTTTGAAGAAGACCTAAAATAAAACAAAAAGGTTTTAATACTTGCTGAAATACATCGTTTTTTCATTTAGAACTCCATGCAACGTTTTTTTTCTGTTGTATGAGTAGTCATATGAAGGTACTATATCCCGACAGTTAGCTGTGCAGCAATGTACCCTTTGAATGCAAATTGAAGACAAGTGAAGATATAAAGGCAGCCGACTGTCGGGTACATAACGACTATCTAACTTTCCACCATAGAGATATAATAAGAATACTAGAGCGCTAACTGCAATGTATTCGATGTTTGAAAATACGCAGAGCTGTGTGTGTACCATTTAAGATGGCTGCGCCATAGATTTAGCCAATAAAATTTCGCCTAAGCACCATTTGTGCAGTTGCGCCCTCAATTTACACAGAAAGTTCAGTATAGCTAGTTACCCGTATGTTTGAAACTCGAGCGTTGCGGTGTATGAGTGTAATGTACACGATTTTAATTTTCATTCCTTGGTACTTAATTATTTTTGAATAAGATGCTCCACTTGGCCTCGTTTTGGCTAGTACGCTAGTTTAATAATTTGTTATTGCCATTACTCATTTTCATTAATGAAATAATAGTCAATCAGAGGGCTTATTTATGGTAATAATATGTATAGTAAGCCTGAGGGTGGCGCTTTACTACGACGGCCATTTTGGATGGTACACATACATAACTCTGCAATGCTTCGCCATCTTGTCAGCACTCTAGTTGTTTAATAGCTCTATGCTTTCGACAAAAACATTAGGCCTATGCTAGGCCTAGTTTAGTACAGTACAGTAGTTACTGTAATGCGAGGGTGGTAGATCATTCAGTCAGTGATATCGTGTTATCGTCTAATACATTTTAATAATGTGTGTAAAATGTATACGGTAGTAGTATACGTAGCAGAGTGACGGCAGCAATCTAAGCCTAGCCTAAGGCCTAGATAGTATACGTTCTTGATCATCGTAATGAAAACTTCAGGTGACAGACAATTGGGCCCAACTGGTGTGGACGATCGGACCCAAGATAGCTTCAAATAAATTGTAGTCCTAGTAGGCCACTACCACCACCCCCACTCCTGATATCGTTCTAAACTACTGTAAAATGAAATTACTGTATACCTATCTAGGCCTAGGCCCTATGCCTAAGAAATCTTTTCAAAGAAATTTGCTAAAAATATTACTGTAATTTGCCTGTCGAATTGCATTACTAAAATCACTATTTTGGGCCATAAAGACTCCCCCTGTATTTTTCAACCACCAATATATATGCTGTCTCTTATACACATCTAGATGTGTATAAGAGACAGTATATATAGGGCCATACTTTTTAAGTCATGTATCATGCATAGGAACGTTGACGCCTGCAAGGCTCTGGTTTTATGTTTTTGTAATTAAAGTGTTTTCTTTTGTTTTCAAGAACCTATAAAGCAAAGTATACAAGCTGTAGATGAGAAGTCAATGCAAGGTCTACCAACTTACGAAGATGTTGTTGGAAATAATTCTTCAGAATCTCCTGTTTCATTCATTACTGAAGGTAGGCTGGCCTACAATTTGATAAGATGTATATGTAAGTTGTTTTTATGTTACTAGCTGGCTTCTTTGAATGAAGAAGCAGACCTCTAGCTAGAGAAGTGAAGGGTGAGGTGACATTGGAAAAAGATAAACCAACAACAAAGTTTCCATAATGTTAACAAATATTAGAATACAGTGCAGCACCAGGAGGTGGCAAAGGGTGGGGCTCTCCTCTTCCCCCCTCCCAGGAACACCTTCACCTACCTTTTCCAGATGTCTGTTCTCAAACCACTGACATTACTTTTCCCAAAACATTGTGGACATGTAAGTGAAAAACCAAGGATTATTTCTGATGGTCTCCCTCTAATTAAATACCCCTCCTATTAAAGGTAAAGACCATTTTCTGTTGCCCCATATTATTCTAATTAGAAACCATAGCTGCTAAAGGCCATGGAAACCCCATTCCCAAAAATAGTCTTTAATTGGATGGAGACCTGTACTTTAATTTTTTATATTCTTGCTATAACCCACTGAACCAGTCAGTCATGTTCTGAAGAATGAATATTATGGCTCCTAATTTGTATTTCATGTGCGTAATCCCCAAAATAAGGAGAAGAAATTGCTGATGACTCAAAATTTATTTACTTATGTTAATTTCTTTTCCCAGTTTTTTTTAACAAACTTTTCCACTTTATTAAATTTTTGCTACTGTAATCTTGTATAGAAAATCATTTCATTTTTTTTAGAAGCAAGCAAAGGAAGGCCAACAATTGGAATGAATATTTCTAAAGAGACCTCTGAGCTACCAGTCATTGATAAAAGCCATATCCAGAAGAAATCAAAAGATGTTGATGGCAATTTGGATTTCCAGGGAAAAAATTTAAACAGTTTATCAGGCGCAGATATTAAAGATAATGATAAGAAGAATGTCAACAGCGCAGAGCCAAATAAGAAGCAGACAATAACTGGCACAATATGTAAAAACAGTGCTGGTTTGATTGAAAAAACAGAAATCAGATCTAATACAGAAGACATGGAACAAAGACTAGAACCAGTAGCCAGTGTTGACTTTTATGATGTCGGAGCTGAAGGGCTGAAAGCAGAAAACGCAGCTGAGAATTTAAATCCGGAGGTCACCACAGCATCTGGAGAACTTCCAAGTGTACAAGCCAGTGCCATTGCAGAAAAACTGACACCAGAGCCAGTAGCCAGTGTTGACGAGCCAGTAGCCAGTGTTGACTTTTATGAAGGCACAGGCGAAGCAGGCGATAAATTTAATGCAGCAGAAAATGTAGGTGAAGTTGGAGCAGTCCACACAAGAGGTGAAGAACTTCATGCAGGTGTTCAAGTCACTGCCACTGTAGAAACTTATGAACCAGAACCAGTAGCCAGTGTTGACTTTTATGAAGGCACAAGTGAGGGACTGAAGGCAGGTGCAGAACTTGAAGCAGCTGAAAATAGTAATGTTGGTGAACAAAAAATTTCAAATAAAGACATCAACACAGGAGGTAAAGAACTTCATTCAGGTGCCACTGTAAAAACTTGGGAACCGGAACCGGAACCAGAAACATTAGCAACTCTTGGTTATGAAGACACAGGTGAGGGACTGAAAGCAGGGCCAGAACTTGAAGCAGCTGAAAATCAGAATATAAGAGAAACTCATTTTTCATATCAGGAACTCAACACAGTGGGTGAAGAACTCAGTGCAATATTACAAGGCACTACCATTGCAGAAACCTTGAAATTAGAACAAGCAAGTCTAAATGTAAATGAACCTAAATTTCCAGATCAAGAAGTCAACACAGCAGGTGGGAAACTTCATGCAGGTATTAAATCCAATGCCAATGTAAAAACTTGGGAACCAGAACCAGAATCAGTAGCAACTCTTGGTTATGAAGATACAGGTGAGGGACTGAAGGCAGGTGAGGAACTTGAAGCAGCGGAAAATCTGAATTTACTTAAACATAAAGGAGGTGAAGACCTTAACGGAGGTGTTCAAGCCAGTGCCTCTCTAGATAGTTGGGAACTAGATCCAAGCGAGTTGACAGAACTCTTGGAAGCAGGTAGCTCGCATTAATATTTAGTACAAGTACTGTACAAGCACTGGTGGCCCTGGACAGGGGGCTCAGCTGGCCGAGTTTAGAAATTAAAAAAGAATGCGGGAAAAGGAAAATTGCACTCCAATTGAAGTTAGAGAGTGCCATAATTTTACGCTATGTTGGAGCTGACATAGGTCAACTGTTCACCTAGATCCGCCACTTATATTTGGAGGTGAAGGAAGCAAATAATCTGACTCGGGTCTGACAATTTCTAGTGGTGCCAGAAGGACTCCTAGAAAAATTGGGTCGTTTTGGGCCATATGTGGGCTGTTTTGAGGATTTGAATGTATTGTGCCTAAAGATATCTTTTTGTTTAATTTATTTTTTGTTTTGTCTGACAAAATAGTGATATGGGCATAGGCTGTCGGATGGGATGAGGTGGGGTGGGGGTGGTTGGTACTGTAATGTGGTGCTGCCATTGAGAATCATGTAGCCGGTGGTTGGTACTGTAATGTGGTTCTGCCATTGAGAATCATGTAGTTACTTTTCACTCTAAAAAAATATCAAATTCCAAGACACAATTATTTTGTTAATTATTGGTATTTTTATATATAATAATATAATATATCGACAACTAGACCTCATGTCCTTTGGTCAAGTTATACATTTTATCGTGCTAGCAAGTTTTTTAAATGTATTAATATTAGTGGAAGTATTGTATTTGTTTAGGTGATTCCAGATTGCAAATAGATGGATGCCACTTAACTTCCCTGTTAATTGGCAATAAAACAGTTGCTTTTTAGGTGACAGGGGAGATGCAATCATAGTTTATAAAATTTAAATATATAATTAAAGTGAAGTGTTTTAAATTGGTACAAATACTGTAATTATGAATAATAATATTTAAATGATGCTTGCCATCACAAAAACAGTATCTGTGAACAAAAAATGAGAATTTACATTTTAATAATATTCTTAATTTCCACACTAAAAAGCTTTAAAATAATGGGTAATTTACTATTGCCAAAGGTATGAGTAAAAGTATTATGGCTTCTCTGTGCCAAAGTATACAATACAATGCCTCATTCAAATGCTAATTACTCAGTGTAACATACAGTGGTTTTGGGATGGCATGCCTCAAATATTTGTTTTCATATTAATAAATGTTTTATAGGTGTAATTTTTTCCCTACCTAACGTGAAATGCACTGAATGCTCAGTACGTTTGAAAACAATTGCGAAAAAAATCGCAAGTTGTTCTCGGGTGGGACTCGAACACACGATCTCCAGAATAAATTTTTTTATTGCAAATTAAGCAATATATATGTATATATACCACTCTTACCGGGTGGAATTGACCAATGGAATGTCTCATTAGTTAATTAGGTAATACCTAAATAATAATTATGAGATATAGTAATAACGATATCCCTATTGACCAAGCTGTTATAATCGGCATATGCACTTTGATTTGAGTTAGCCTGCACTTTTGTAATTTCATAACACATTTACTAGAAAACAACACTATTGTTTGTAGAATTTAGTTTAAAAAACAGCTATTGTCCAAAGCAGTTATCATTTTTACTATCTGTCTAAAACAAACCAGTTATTATTGTATATGGTTTTAATGCATATTAGAATTTTAAAGAAATTTTAATGTTATGAATATACATTTCCAATATTAAATTTATAGTTGTATATTGTCTACTGTATTCATATTCATTCTGGATACATTTGTCCATTTAATTTCGTGTTTTAGTTATACTGTACTATAATCACAGTGTACTACAGTATGGTACATTCATACTTTACTACAGCACTTTTACCATATATAATTCATTCATATTTTATCCTACTGCCTTTCTATTTTAATTTCATTTGTGTATGGACCACAGTTCATATACATTTAGAGGTCAATGTTTGTACTTTTCCAGCTATTGTGTTTGATGTGTAACCAGCTGGGCCACTGGTGCTTTGTTTTTTTGTTGAAAAAAATATTGGCTACAATATTATTGAATATATTATTGTCATTAAATGGTCTTTTTTGTAACTCTTGGTGTACATATACAGCAGTATACATTTCCAAATATGGGTTCTCTATTGTAATGATCTAAATAAATGTTGAATATTGAATCACAATGGTTTGGATTACTTCATATGGAGCAGAGGGGACGCCAGGATTTTCTTGATCGGGGTCAGATGTCAGTGAGATGAGAGAAAAGTGGGTGTGGTCGGGCATTGCTCTGAAGTGTTCAATAATATGACAATTTAGGTGTTTCAAAGGCTTATTTATCGATTTTAGAGTTTAGTAAAATGTAGAAAATACATAAAAAGTTTTTCATCTTGACAAATTGTGGTTTTTATCCCCGGTTTCATGTGAGTGTGAAGTATACTACATTGTATTTAAGATATACTGCATCTGTCATGCGCTAATGAAAGTTTAAAAATTGAATTCAAATTTGAATTGATTAACTTGTACATTTAAGTAAATCATTTACTTACAATTAAAAAATAACAAATGTATAAAAAATATGCTGTAAAAGAAAAATTTTGGAAGGTATTGTGGTGATGCTTGGGAATGTAATATAAGTTGAAAATAGCTCCAACCAGGATTCAACCTCAGGCCTCAACCGACTGGACTACTGGTTTCTTTTGGACAATTTTTCAGATATACTTAAATTATTTATTTCATTAGATTTTAAGTACTGTTACTTAAATGTTAAGTATAAAAAATAAAATATAAGAATCTTTATTCTGATATCAATACAAATTTATTTATATTCCATTATTTTCATCATATATAATATAAATGTATTCACAGAAAATGTCTTTAAATTAAGATATTACATGGAAAGCTGTACCATAATGAATATTATATTCTGTCATTGAGTTGAAAATTATTTTTTAAATGTGATTCCTGTCTTTGAAATCATTCAGAAATGTTATAGAACATTATTGCACTCATTCCTCGAAAATAATCTCATAATTCATGTTTATCGATGCATTCGTATTCATTCATAAATTCGCTTTTCTGTCTAGACATGGTGGTTCTGGAGAGATTCGGTCAGTTTACTCTTTCATCGGAAACATCCTAATATGTGAAACCATTCTTTGATCATCTGTGCAGTTTGCTTCAGTGCTCTTCTTCAATCACAGTTTGATTTAAAATTATTATTTTTAGCGATTATGGATAATTTGATTCCCACTGATTGTTGTTCTCTTTTTCTCTTATATATGTGCATCCTGAATCATCAAAGTTTTGATCTGTCAAGCCATTGAAAGTCCTGGAAAAAAAAAAATTCATCCCATGAATCAACATTCAACTCCCCCATCTACTCTTCCATGCATTGCCTAAGTTCTCATGACAGCACCCAGTCAAAATCAAATCCAATCGTTATCTCAATTTTCAGAACGTGGTTTAAGTTGAATCTCGGTTGTACAGAGGATAAGTTTCTAAGCCAGACACTTTATTGATGTTTGTTTCTCTCTAATCAGGAGTAATGGGTACCGGCGTATGCTGGGAATGTAAAACAGACTAAAGTGTGGGATGAGTGTCGAGCCTTGCATGGTCTGGCCCTAATGCCATAAGAAAGAGAGATGGGCAATCCGGCCTGTAAGCCTGAGCTTCGGGTTTCGACCTCTTATCCTTACAGAGAATGCAGAATTGTGATGTATGAACTGAATCTCTTTTGGGGTCAAGTCGTGCAATTAACAACTTCCTAATTATGTTGGTGCTTATGGTAATAATAAGGGATATTACTATAACGATAATGATTAACCTGTCTTACTTGAGGCTTTTTATCTGCAAAAGGATCGATCATTGCATTGATTAACACTGGCTCATTCTTCATATCCCCATGGAAACAACGTGCCAGAACATCCTCCAGAGCTGCTGGTGTTCGAACAAAGAATCCTTTGCCACCAAATGCCTCCATCATTTGATCATACCTTGCATTAGGTGTCAACACAAATGGGAGCAACCTGTAATGAAATATTAATTTAATAAATTTCTACTGCTATTTGCAGTATGAAGTATAGAGCTCCTATAGAGTTCAAGTTTCCTAAAGTCAGAACAAAGCGGTCCTGTGACTTCATTTTAAATCGTGGGGTATTTGCTAAGTGGTGAAGTCTCCTTCCTCGACTTACCGCCCCCCCCCACCCCAAAAAAGAAAAGTCATGTAGGCTTTATTTAGTTGTATTTAGTATTGTACTCCGTATAATTGCTCATTTGAATGTCTCTCTTATTTATGCCCTTTTTGATTGTTTCTGAATTATTTAGCTCGAGTATTTTAAATATTTTCAACATTTTTATTATTATTACATTAAATTATTCTGTACATTACAAATTTTCCTTAAATTTACATTAAAGTTATTTTGAATCTTGAGGTGTAGCTTGGTGTTGAAGATGCTGGCTTGCCTATCAATCCCAAGGTTCTGGGTTTAATTCCTGTTACAAGATGTTTTTGTCACAACCAAAAATCCCCTCCCTAAGCTGCTTGAGAATTAAGATTATGTAGATGTTAAAGATGTATTGTCCCTTGCTAATGTAAAAAAAAATCATTAAAAAAATAATATTGAAATAAACTTGCTCATATTGCAATAGCATACAAATTATTATCCTTGATTTTTAAACTAAAAAATTATAATAAAAATAATAAAACACTTCCAGTGACTGGAAGTGTTTCTATCATTTTTTGTTGTAAACTGATGGGTAGACATTTTTTAAATACACTAATTTCTATGTTCAAGTTGATAACTTTTATGTTACTTCAAAACGGGCAAGTTAATTTCAAAAAATATATTTGATTTTTTTTTTGGTATTTAGCATGGGACAATACATCTTTAATACAACTTACTTAGTAGGCCGTTCCTCAACTGGAATGGTTTGGTAAAGATCATCATTAACACCCATAGTAATGCCATTGTTATTAACAACAATAAACACAATTGGTAAATGATATCTAAAAGAAACCAAAAGAATTAATTTGTTTCATATAATCATGTGGCTGATGAAATATTGAATGATTGAAATATATGAGATACTTTCTCATATATTTCAATCATTCAATATATGAGATACATTCTCACCAATCATATATAAAGTATTTTATTACATTCTGGGTGATGAGGAAAGCTAACTACAGCCTTAGCACTGGCACTGGTTTGAGTCACTCCTCACCCTGGGTTCGGTTGGTAGAACTAAGTATTCTTGGATAAGGACTTAAAATTGAGGTCAAATGTAAACATCTTTCAGAAGAATGGGGCCCAGGTTGCCCTCTGCTGTGGTTCATTTCAGACTCTATCGTTGTGAATGATGAGAACAATAAGCTATAATATAATATGCCCCTCTTTACGGCGGCTTGGTAGTCACCGACCACACCCATACGCACTTCAGCAGAGTGATGCTGCAAGTTATGGGTTATTCTCCTACTATGTTGGTAACATGACGACCAAGCTTTAGATGATGATGATGCATTAATATAAAATAAATGAATTTCAATTTAAGAACCTGCAAACTGTTTCAAGCTCCATCCCTGAAAAACCAAAAGCACTGTCCCCTTCAATGCACACCACTCTCTTCTCAGGCCAGAGGTCACGAGCCAATACTGCAGCAGCAATAGCGAATCCCAGTCCAACCCCCATCGTACCAAAGGTTCCGGCATCTAACCTACAGTACAGTGGGTAATAAACAAATTTTTATGCTTCAGAAAAAATTTTAATGTCTAATCTCATCTTTCCATATTAATTTCATAATGCCAACAAACCTTGTAGAAACATGCCTAAAGGGTGAGACCTTCTGTGTTGAACAGAGAGTAATCAGTTCTTTATATTTTCTTTTGAACAAATAGTGTGATTGCAAGAGGTAAATTTAACTCCTATACCATTGGCCATAAAATCATTCCAACTTGCAGTCCATTCAAGCTGGCTAAAATAGTTTCTGGCAGACATATTCTGCTTTGTACTTTCTCTATTTCTAAGCAGCAAAGCAACTATTAGAATGTAGATTGTACCAGGTGGTAATTATAAAAAGAAGTAAACCTAGGGATCACTTTACCTGTGTTTAGGAAGGTAGTTCTCCAAGACGGTCCTACCAATGTCCATGGTGTTGGAACCCTCACTTACAATGATAGCATCTTTTGGTAGTGCAGATTGTATCTGAATTAACAATATAAATAAATACAATAATTATATAAATAATTTATATATATATATACAGTAATCATATACAAAGATGTTTATTTTAAGATAAGCCATTCCGAAGCTTTCTACTGTGTTTGAGCTACTAGGCACTGGTAGACTTCATCATTCCCATAAGCTCAATAGTTGAAGCATCTTCCATCAAGCTTTTTTGGCATGCCAGTTAAAAACAAATGAATCAAATTATGTATACAATGAACACAATCATAATTTTAAAATGCCTATTCCAGAAAGCCTATGAAGTCATTCAGGCATAATGAAAGGTAACTAACGTCTATTGACAACAGAGAGCGCCACCTGGCGTCGTGACGACAGGACTGTGGTACTCTATCGTATACATAATTGAGGCATGTTGTGGCAAAATGGCTAAGTTGTAGCAAAAATTGAAATTCAAGTTATTTGTATTTTCAGATACGTGAATATGTGATTTTTAAAATGAGGGGTCATTCAATCAAATTGGGCATTTCAAACCTAAGTTAGTGGAAAGTGAAAGTAGAGTCAAGATAAACATGATTTTGAGTAATTGCCTTTCAAAGTTATTTGTGCATACATTGTTTAATAGAATGAACTATCAAAACTAACATTAAATAAAACATTTGTTGACTACTTCCAGAACTACTACTTTGGGACATGATTAGTAAGACAGTAAACTGTTGATCTATAGTGAAAAAAAAAAAAATGGATTTTTTTTTTTTTCTCTTTTGTGGGATCGTCCCACTTTTATTTCATCATAATGTCTTAACCTACATAAAAATGGATTTTTAGGCAATTTTTTGAGCTCCCATATTTTATAGCTCATTTACTCAATACTGGACTGTGCGACAACTTTAACCATTTTGCCACTACATGCCTAAATTTATCTGTATAATTATATTACATCTAGACCTATATGAAATTGATGCCTCCCCCCACCCCCCATTTAAAAAATTCTGGATCAGTCCCTGGAAGGAGACACCCTTAGAAAGCTGAGTTGTACAGCATTTCAATAAATATTGGAAATCCTGCTTTTTGCATGTAAATCCATACAGAATTCAAGTGAAATATTTAAAACAGCATAAAAACTGGTTTTTATTTACTCACCCGGTGTAGTACAGTGTAGTAGTTCATTGGCACAGATTGGTCTTTCGCAAGTTTTAGATTTAATGCCTTATTGCTCTCAACTTTTTCACTCAGCATCATCCACCATTCCGTGTTGCTAGGGTAACGCCATGATCGGTGCATTGTTAGCATCTGCGACTCAATCTACAAAGTAAATAATATCAGTAGAGTCAACCTTTGTCGGTGTCACATGTATGGTACGTATTTTCAGTATTCATGGATACAGTATTAAGAAAATTAACAAGAAAAATAAGGATTATAAACACAGTGCGGTGTTGTGTGCAGTGTTTCTTTTAGTTTTAAGGTTCACAGAAAAGTCCTTCCGTAGCGCCTTGAGCACCACTGTACTGGATATGTGCGCTTATAAACCATATTATTATCATTATTATTATTAAAACTAGTTGCATAATTAACATTATTTTATCTTCTTATTTGGAAAAGAATAAATACAATTCCCCAATATAGAATTTACCTGTTCCATGACAACCTTTAGATGCCCTTGCACTCCCAGTATTCGGTCACTACCTACACTGTTGTACAACTCTTCGGGACAGATATCAATCTATTTCCAAAATACAACAGAGGTCGATACCTTATAAACAAATATGTATGGAGGCATAAACTTCATACTAAACACAGTGTTTTTTTTTTAATAGAAAGACTGTAACTAAATAAAATACTATATTTAATCAATATCTAAATACAATAAAAATCATACTAAATACAGATTGATGTAAAGCCCAGATGTTGTTGGTTTTTGAACATAAGAATCATAACTGCACATTCGTTGAGTGCTTATCTGGACCTGAAGAAAATATTGATACTTTTGTTTGTTTATTACCTGAATAAATTTTGCTGAGGTATTGAAGCGAGGTGGTTGGCCAAAATGCATAATCCAGTTTAGTCGAGCACCAAGTAAAACAATCAAATCAGCATTTAAAAGAGCTCTGAGGAAAGAGAATGGAAAACAATTTGAGACTTTCAGATTTTTCTCTGTTGAGTGGTAGAGATGGATCAATAGTTTACTTATAGTAATTGTTATTGTCGTGATGGAATAATAGACAATAACTGGATTTGCGTCAAGAGAAATTCAACCCTGGCCTCAAAATTCAACCCTTGGACTCGAATTCAACCCTGGCCATCAGGCGCAAGCTCGGTGGTCTAGAGGTACGATGCCAGGCTAGTGATCTGGAGATCGGGGGTTCGAGACTCACCCGAGAACAACTTGCGATTTTTTTTGCAATTGTTTTCAAATGTACTGTGTATTCGGTACATTTACACGTCAGGTAGGGCAAAATTACACTTATACAGTTTACTTATACTCGGGGCACATAACTTAATAAGCTTACATGCCACTTACCCATTAATACTCGGGTAAGTATTCATGAAATAGACATTACAGTAAAAGAAAACTTACTTGGACCTTGCAGCACTAACACACAGTTTATGATCATCAGGAACAACTCCTTTACCCATTGGACTTGGTAGGAATGGTAATGCATATTTATCTATGAATTTGCATACCTCGTCCGATGCATTTGCATATGCAGCACCTGGGATCATGTAAAATATAAATATTCATGTATATTATGTCATTAATTTATCGTTAAACATGCTATTTATCTTTTGAAATACATGAAATATATGGAAGTGTCTGACACAGAGTATTTATTTTATTCCATTAGCACCAAGCTTAATAATTATTCAACAAATTTCATTAAATTTTCACCTTGGCCGGAAAATCATCCATAAAATTTCTACTAATAATTTCTGTGTAAAATTTTAGGTGTTCCAATTAATGTTTTTTAGCATTATAACAATTTCTGCTCTTTTCTCTCACCTTTCCCAACTATGACAAGTGGCCTTTTAGCAGAGGTTAAAAGATCAATGACCTCTCTGACCTTTGGAAGATGTGCATAGATAGGATCAGGATCAGGACAGCGGCCTATATTTCTGGAAATACACAACAAACAAGAAGAATAAGATTTGCAGACATTTCAAGTGTAGCTATAAATAATGAACTGGTCTTTCTTATAGCAAGGCAATTCAACAAAAGGACGCATATCTCGGGACATCAAAGGTTATAACTCTGGCATCGACATTCTAGGTGCCGTGCGTCCTTACACGCTGAACGTCACAAAATCCATAGCAACCAGACCATTTAATCGTCAGCGTGTGACTAATTACCCATGCGTGTGTTAGTTGCCATGATAATCACGCGTCGTGCGGTGATTACAAAGGCTTAAGGATATTTTGCACTAACATTAGACTGAAATTATATTCTTCATTTCAACATTAATTTTACCGATGTTGTGGTGTATTGTCGTTCATGAGACTCACTTTGCAGAAAAAATTAATAAATTTTCTTTATCTACTCAAATGTTTGTTTTGTGCACATCAGTCCAACACTGTCAAAATGACAGTTTAATGTTACGCAAGAACATGAAATTTTATAAAATTCGTAAATTTTCAATTGCTATAACTTTTCATTTTCTTGGTCAATTTTCACAAATCAATTTGCAGTATATAGAAGCATTTAACAAGCTTGCGGTCAAAAGAAATCAGATGTAACAGACATTGCAAAGTACCCAAAATTAGTAAAATAGTAACTAACACCATAAAACGTATGGCACGCATATAATAATTGACAGCTGTACTAGCAAACTAGTATCGGATTGTCGATGCCACAGTAAAGATCAAAGGACTGTGTTCGAAAGCGGAGTTGTGCGTCCTTTTGGTAAATTGCCTTGCTTATAGTGAATCTATAAAAGAACCCAGGAAATTAAAAATTAAATCTCTATTATTAATTTTGGACCCCAATTTCTTTTATCCCCATTATAGATCTGTTTTCAACTGATATATCTGTTGTTCCACTGAACAACTTTCTTTAGATATTCTCAAAGAAGTTGAAATTTGTGAGTTCTTTAATCCTGTGCATGTTCTTCTTACCGTACGCTTGATAATTTCGCAGAACCAATTAGCATATCACCTGGAAGGTCTATGTAGGATGCACCTGGCCGGCCACTTATACTCATACGTACTGCCTAATTGATGTATAAACAACAATGTTTAACTCTCAAATATACAAATCAATTATGATGTTATTATTATAGATTATTAGATTATTCCTGTACCATATCTTTATCATTGACAATTTGCCATTAGCATTGACTCTACATTATTTTATATCCATAATACCCATTATCTATCCATATTATAGGTTGTTTTAGATTTCTACAGATTTTCTTTATTAAAAAATAATACTGATATTGAATACCTGTATCTAGCATATTAATCCCTTAATAATATTTAAATTACTGATAGGTTTCAAATTGCTATAATTTTAATTAAGACATAAGCAATGTTTATACAAAGTTAATTGCTGGCTGCCTGCCTTCACACTGCCAACAACTGTACTTTAGGTGTATGAATACATGAGAACTCCAATTGAGTGAGCCACCATAATTTATCTAGACATAAATATACTACCATTATCATTACAAATAAGCATGATAGAAATCAAGAGATTCATTATTTAACTTTATTAATTTATATTTTAAAATTAATAATTGGAAAAAAAATACAAATATGAAACACAAAATATGTAATAGTACTAGTACATATATAACTTTAATATGTTCTTCTACCTGGTTAAAACATTTAAGTACAATTTAGTTACACCTACCCTTTCTACAAATGCAGGAATTTGACCAATACTGCTGGGCCTTGCTGTATATTTAGTATAAAGTCTTGCACTCTCAACCTAAACAAAATGGGGAAAATTGTACACATGTTATTAATTACCAAAAAAAGAATAGGTTATTTTCTGATTTCAGTAATTTTATTATAAAATATATTAACTCTTAAGTTAGAGTACATTTATGGGTTACAGCATATAACTTTCATTGGTTAGCTCACCTGCGGCCATTCTTGAAATGAACCCAAGCCATCTTTATCAGCATCACTAGCGCCCCCTATAACAATAACCGGCCTGAAAATAATTGGTGAAATTGTTGACTTTATTGTATCGAACAATAGCATCAACAAACATTGATATTCATTAAAATTAGTCAGTTTTGCTACTAGAATATTTTAAATAATTTTTTGTTTTTAGAAAATTTGTAACTTGCCAACAATTTAGAGTTGCATTTGCAAGACCTCCGATGGTATGTAGCATTCCTGGTCCAGAAACAACCAAACAAACCGCTGGTCTATGAACACACAGAAAATTCATTATTATAATAATTTATTTCATTTATATAGTTCTTTCTAACTAAATAAAATAAAATAAATAAATAGTTGCCCAAGCCCTACAACCCAAAATCTCGAAAATCTAGGGTTGTCTTTTTTCTGCAAAATTATTTTACAAAAAGGAGAAAGCAAAAATAATTGTATGATGTGTCAGAAAGCCACTTTTCAACATTATAATTTATACACTATGAAGACGATATACAAAGTTTGAAATATACTGAATGACAAAGGCGTGCATCAATTTCACAGGGCTTTGTTTCATATTATTGTCAAAAAATGTCAAAATTATAAGCGAACCCTAAGGTATAATTTACAGGGGTCCAAAGTCCCCCTTAAGCCTGTTACTGACTGCGTGCGACGGCAACGCGACGGAGAACGCACGTGATCGTCTTTTAATAAGGATCCGTTCAGATTGCCACTGACAATCAGCAGACAGCGTTGCGTCGTCTATCGCTCGCAGGAAGCAAATGTGGATTCGTCATACGAAGCAGTGAGTGTCCGGCCAGGAAATCGGGACTGCCTCCTACAAGTAGGCAATAATCTGATAACATTTGCATGTTTTTTCTATTTTTATTATTAATTGTGGGAAGGTAGTCAGTGACGATGGGTATCACCGTGTGCAGATAAATTATAATAAGTTTGTGTTACAATCTCATTTAGCCAAATCAACTGGATGTCAATTCTTCCAGACCCCTGAATTTACAACTTTAATAACTTCACATGCTTTCACAATATTAAAATAAATTTTTTAATTTACTGCCCGTTAATGTATCAGTTTCTAACTTTTCAAGATTTGATGTTTGTTTTGTCTGTTGATTTTATTCTCATGCTTTTAATGCCCGTTTTACTATGAAATTGTTACAATTCAGTTTTTTACTGCAAGAGCAATTATTTTTAAATAAAATACTCTTATGAATGAATGAATGAATGAATGAATGAAAATTTGTAAGTTTTTTTTTTCTCTTACCGCCCTGTGAGGTAGCCAATAACAGAAGCTGCATAGCACGCCTATATTAAAAATAGAAAAAACCCTTGGAATAAATTAAGTATCCAGGCTTAGATCTTTCGATCAGTTCACAATAAATGATATTTTTTATGTGCTAAACCATCAGTGGTGTATCTAGGGTGGTGGACAGGGTGAACACCCAAATACTTGCACTCCCCACTTGCTCCCACCCCCATTGAAAATGTATGATGCAAAAATAGCAAGCTCTAGTAGTTAAAAATAACCACAAATCAGCCTATTTTGCGAGCTGGTGCCCCACAAAACCATCGAACACCCCACTTCACATTCACCCTTCCCCACTTCATATGCATCCCCCTCCCCACCACCACTGAGTAAACATACATCCTTCTTTGAGTCAACTTACCGCTTGTTCATTCCTCATCCCAAAATACTTTATGCCTGTAGCTTGCATCACAGTACCTAGCTCAGCCACTGGATATCCCACAATTCCAAACACATATTTGATGCCCTAAAAGTAATGCAGAGTAATTAACAAAGTTTAGCAAAATTTAGCAGAATATACTGTACTACTATCTCTAGCGGGCCAAGGCTTACCTACTAAAGTAATATGGACTAAAAGATATTCATAGTTAATAGGCATCATGCCTGGGCCTTTGCCTCCCTACTCACGCTGGACTACTGCTACCTCTTAGGCATAAAGCCCCTCTCTAGCTGCAGAAGAGGCCAGGCCTCCTAGATAGCACCTCCCTGGCCTGGGCATATAGAGCGCCTACGCTAGCTAGCCTAGGCCAGGCTTGGTGGCAGGCCCTAGGCCTAGTCTAGGACGAATTCTCTGTCTAGTTATCAATTTTACCTGCGCTTTAAGAGCTTCCGAAAGCACTGTATTTCCATCTACCATCTCTACATCGTCTGCCATTTTAGATACGCCTGGCTTTTGAAATTAAAGTAAAAAATGAGCAGAAAGATTACTGTCTAGGCTAACTAGGCCTATCTGGCTGCTGAATCCACAATGTTGATGTTTGTATTGAATGGGGGCGGTGTCACTGTTTTTTGTTTATTCTGATAAAACGACTGACCTGGAAAATATGTACCGAGGTCCGATTAACGCTACACATCTGAATAATGATTAACATTATAGCACAATATATTTAGGATATTAACTGTTTTCTTTTATGTTACTGATATTGCCCCTCCTGTTTATCGCCTCGTCAAACTACCTGGTACTTAAATATAATCACATTGTATAGTACAGAAAGTTAAGATACCGATTGCGAAAACCTCGAAAAAAATAGGCATCAAAAAAAAAAAAAAAAAAAAAAAAAAAAAATTGGGAGAAAAGAAGCTTACCCCTTTTATACAACTTAGTTTTTATAATTTTCATTATTTATATGATAGGCCTATCTATCATTTTATTGTATAGAAACGTAATGTTGAAAATAACGTTGAATAAATGCGGATTTCCCCACAAGACAATTAAAAGAGAAAAAAAAAATCCCCTTTTAAATTGCAAAAGTAATTTCGGAAAAGAAGCTCATCTCGATGATTGTGAAAGCGTATCATTTATTGATGTTTAAAATTAAATTCTCACACGATTGTAATTTATAAATGGTAGACCTACTGGGTTTGGTCAACAAGATTTCGTTTCTGTATTCCATTTTGAAGTCGGCACCTCATAATATTGGGTTAATAGAATTGAATCCTCGCAGAGAATACCAAAGACATTGCCTGAATTAAAACAATTGCCATACACTGACAGGTTGAAGTTTTATGTTTACCTATTTTATTTTAGAGTATCGACGTCTTAGAGCAGATATGATTCAGGTTTTTAGAATTATAAATAAATTATGAATAACTTTTTTACATTTTCTAAAAATTTTAGAGAGACGCAGGGGCCGGATTTATAAAACTATAAATCAGCTTAAATTCGTCTTAAGTCCGTTTTTTCCTTAAGTCAGATTTATCAATATAGCACATGCTTAAAATTAAAAAGTCCTTTGTACGCATGGGCCGTGTAAGACGATTTTTAAGCTAAGATTTTGCTAAGATGTTTGATAAATCAGCTTAAGATATTTCCTAGGACATCTTAACTTTTTTGACAAGACATTTGCTAAGCTGAGATTAATACTCGTATCCCAGGCCAGGTGTCCGAAAGTTTCATTTCCAAAACTCTAGAGTGGTTGATTTCTGGAATAGTTTGCCATCCAAAGTTGTAATGGTACTGCCAGCATGAAATTAAATCTTTGCTTAATGATCACTGGTATGGCCTTAATTGTGAATTTTCGTTGTCGTACCATCAAGAAAATATCAAGCAAGTGAACGTGTATCTTTTTAGCAGGTTTGCATTGGTTGAAACTAATGAACTCCGTCTATATAAATTCATTAGAAGATTGATAATTGTTAATATAATTTGTATAAGTTACAAATTAATTAATTATTTTATATGGTAATTAATCATATCACACGCTTGATTAATATTATATAATTCGTATAAGTGTCCAAAGAAAAAAAAAAAAGCCCAGATCTTCAAATCGAGGTTTTAAAGTATGCTACCTGCCAATAGAATCGGTAAAACCATTAAAAAATATTTAAAAGAAGTCCTATCTTTCTAAAAGAAAGCCCATCTCGAAAAGAAGCCTCTTTTAAGGGTCCTAAAAAGAAAAAGCACAGGGCTTCTAATAGAGGTTTTACAGTATGCTGCCTGCCAAAAGAATCGGTAAAACCATTTAAAAAATGGATTAAAATGTTGAATAGCCTAGCTTATTTAAAATAATCAAATAAATAAATAGGTTTATAATTACTTCCACCAGAACAGATCGTAGAAAAATATGTTTTGCTATACAAACTTGCTACAAAAATCATTAAATTGATTACCAGCCATCACCCCTACCCTACGAGTACAGCTAGCGGAGTTTCATGACTTCTGCTTTTACACAGGCCTAAATAAAAAAAAAAGCAGCATTCAAAAACGAACCTGAACGTGCCACAGAGGGCAGACGCCGCGTTTCGGTAACATTCATTGAGTTGAACTACTCAATTACCGGTACGCATATAGGCCTACACAACAGATTGTAATGTATACAGTTAGTTGCTTTTATCGGATTTTAATTCCCAACGAAGCTCCACCAAGTGGCTTAAGGCGTCTGCATAGTCTGCAGACGTTCACGGGTTCTAATCCCTTTTGAGTTTTTTTTTTCACACTCGCATATTATATTATATCATATCGTTTTTATATCATATCATATCATATCATATCAGATCATATTATATCATATATTATATTATATTTTTATATTATATCATATCATATTATATTATATTGATATTGTATTATATTATATTAGTGTTATATTATATTGTATTGTATTATATTATATCATATTATTGTTGTGTTATGTTATACTATGTCCAAATATAGATGTGATGCTGATGACTCCAACATAAAGCTTCACATCATTTAACCTCCGAGAAATACTGTGGCGTGTCAAAAAAAACCTGACAAAACGGTCATGTATGCTAATAAGTATTGCAGTAGCCTTCTAATGACATAAGGATCATAATTCTGCGTTTGAGGTACTTAACTCGGTCATTCCATATGATGTTCCGTACATCAGATTCCCTCAGTGTACAACAGTAACGAATAACGTTACTCAGATGCCTATATATTTCTAAATTATTCGCCACTCATCAATCATTTCAATCGTCTCTTCAACGCTCTCTATCATCTGATATTAGAAATGCTCTCCTGATTTCTCTTAGTGGGTTTTCACAAGCTGTTAATAAGCATTTGATTGAAAATACTGAACTGAAATATTCTAAAGTTGTTTTGATATAATAATATATTGTATCGGTAATTTTAACAATTTGTAACTAATAACTGCAATTTATTGTATTCTTTGTTAATGAATGGATTTGTTGTTTTTTTTATCTTTCGTGGCGTCGTCCCACTTCTATTCACAATTCATTATCTGGCATTCTGGCATAAATAACTACTGTAGGCCCTATATCAGTTTCTCATAGGTAATATAAATATACAGTATTATACTTTGTAGAAAACAAATATGATACAATTTCAATATACATTGCAAAAACACAACAGTTATAGTTTAAAATATCTCAAAGGATCGCTCCTTCACGGTGGATGAAAAAACACGTCTCAATCAATCAATCAATCGATCAATAGATCATTCAAATGAGCTTTTTCTAAGAGCTGCTCATTGGAGCTAAAAGTATAACAAATAGCATCCATGTAGATCGTTCAAGACGTTAAAAAGACATCTAAAATATAATTTAAATTGAAATTAAAAACAAAATAAATCCAAAGTAAAGTTAACTGATCGATTACTAAAGCATTATACTGTACATGTAGGCCTAGCACCTTTTTACATATATCACTTTCGTATGGGCCTATTCAATGTATTTTCTTATCTTTTCAACAGTAAACAGTTGGTAGACTGAGGTAAATTTCCTTTATATTCATTTGTTTTAACACATTTGCTTTATATATGCAAAAATAATAACCTAATGAAAACAAATGGTCTACATACTTATTCCTAGTACAAAGTACAATGTTTTTTAGGGTTGTCTCAATATTGTAATTCTTTGATTATTGATCATTAATGTAAACGCCATAGATTACCATGTCTTCTGCACACTCATAAAATAAATTTGCATCATCGTCAACACAGTTGCACTGTAAGCATGTTTGAGTTTAGAATTTTCCATATACATAATCTTTTTTTTAAGTCGGAATAGTTCTATGTAATAATTTAAAATTAATTTGCTTGAGTTTGTTTCCGCTAATCATTTTACTTTTCTTTTCCAAGTTAACATCCAATCAATTGTAGTATTAAAATATAATTCCCATATTAATTGACAAAAAAAAAATAAAAAAAAACAACATTTTACTACATAAATCCTCAAATTGATTACCAGCCAATTTAAGGTTCTATGTGAATACAGGAAATTTATTTTTTAACTTTCCGGAAATTGATGAGGGAATTTTAGTTTTCTCATTCAAATTCTTAATTTGAAGTTAATAATTTACTTAAATATACAAATTAAGCAATTCAAATGTGGAAATAAAATTTTCATTTGTTTACCACATGACTGATAGTGCACCTCATGTTATTAAATTTTCCAATGAGACAGATCGAAATACCGACCTTTCACTGAAACCCTTTAATTTCCCCTGTCACCCAACAAAAGCCAACGATATATGCAAAGAACAGGCAGTAATTAAACTTTTCCAGGGCCAATGACATTTCATAAATGGTTGCGTCATTATCGTAAATTGTGTGACGGTGTTAAATAATAATAATAATAATAATAATAATAATAATAATAATAATAATAATAATAATAATAATAATAATAATAATAATAATAATAGTAATAGTAATAGTAATAATAATAATAATAATAATAATAATTAATAATAATAATAATAATAATAATAATAATAATAATAATAATAATAATAATAGTTCGACTTATGGTCGTCATTGGATCAAGCACATATGGAACGCATACTCAGGTCTCTGGGGATAATTCATAATGTTGCAGCTGTAATCAGCGCGCATTTTGTGTTTGAATCTACCAGGTACCCACTTGTACTCCTGGGTGAAGAGAGACAACCGCAGGTGTAAAGTTCCTTGCCTAAGGACACAAGCGGTGTATAAGAGACAGGCATTATACTGTACATGTAGGCCTAGCACCTTTTTACATATATCACTTTCGTATGGGCCTTTCTATGTTTAATATAAAAGTTTAAAAAAGTAAGTAATTTAAAGTTGAAGATTAGCCCAACACACACTGTATGCAGGCCTCAACTCAACAGGGCCCATCGTTAAATTATCTTACCTAACATGTTTTGAATTACTGTATAATATAGATCTATCAGTCTTACTGCCCGCAGTAGCTATAGTTGGTTTGTAATACTTTAGATTGAATACGGGTTTATGGTTATTGATTTATTTTTTTAATGCATATCCATTTCCGTTAAAATTTAAAAGTACACGTTTAATGATTTTACAGTCTGGATATATAATAATCACACACATGCATACGCTTTCGTGCGTATGAAACTGATCCGTTTACAAAAAATAGCAAAAGCAATGACTTTTTGAGAACAACCTACATCGGGATTCGAACCCAAGACCTTCATATTACATTTTGGATACCTAACCAATTTAGCTATAATGCCAAATGGTATACACTCTTGGATTTTCACATCAGGAAACTTTTTTCTTAAGGTACTTTTACGTAATATACGTAATAAATAATCACATGTTACCATGTTTTGGTATGTAGGAAGCGCAAGGTGGTATAATAAAAGTTTGTTTATTACCTCCTTGTCTACTTTATTTATTCATTTATTTTTTTATTTAAAACGTATTTAGGCAGGATAACATATACAGACGAGACCTTAACGCTGTTTTACATTTTATATGGTCCTGTAATAATACTGTACGATAAACAACACACAAGAATGCAACCAAAACAAAACAAGCGAAGGCCTAGAACTAGCAAAACATCAATAGTATGATAGTTTATAAACAAAAACAGTTACGTCTTCTGAACTGGCTTTTGCTTGCGCTTCGGAAGGAATTCATTATGATCATTTTGAATTCCATCATTGTCAACGTGATTTGTCATTGCAATCCGCATCACAATCCAGGGTAGGCCTCTTATGCTCATCAGTTTACACGCATCACTCATATTGATATTGTTGCTAAATAAATATTTATATTTAGCACTGAAATCTCTGACAAAGGGAAATACGAAACTGTAAATCAATTAGAAAGTAGGTAACGAGCTGCAGTTGTTGTCGGCTGATTATGTGGGATTTGAACTCCGGAACGGGAAATTAAACAAATTTTGACTTTAACTTGAAAAGAGGAGAATCCCTCGTTCGAAGTTCACTCTTCGACGTGATTTGCGAATGTAAACACACTGGCGCACTTGCATTACGGGCTTACGAACTCATCTTGAACACGGATTTGTTTTGTTTATGTCTCTAGAATATCATTTCAAACAGAGTCCGTAGGCCTAGCGTTGCTGTTGGATTTCTGGAATTCCTGAAATGAAAGCCAGGGATTGATTACAGCCTAACAAGCTAGGTCGTTTTCAGTAATATGTTTCGTCAACTCATACCCTCGGATCGTCCCCTTTAGGCAAATGTGTTGACACCTGGTCTATTTTCGTACGACGGTACGTCAAAAAGAACCGCAGACGACTTCGAAGATGATTGTCATTCGCTAGTATATTTTAATTGGTCAGTGAATTATTCCAACCATTCACTAATGTAGTGCAATGGAATGGTGTATGGTTGTTTTTAGTCATGAAACGAAGCGGAAAATGTTGATCAGAACTTAGGGCTTGTGATCGTTCAAAGGCGAACGATTCTTGCAAAATTTCAGCTGTTACCGTCGGAGGAGACATACGACTGTGGAGTGATTGCATGCATGGATAGGAAGTTAATATAGTTGGCGTTTGGAATGCAGAGGCTTCGTCGTATCCTAAAATTAGTTTGGATGACCTTATAAAAAGGAATAGATAATCTTCAACTGATTAGTTCATCGTATAAACAAGACCTGAAGTTGTTCGCGGTAAATTGCTTGGAAACATTTCCTAAAAGCTGCACCTGAATATATTAAGATGACAAGCTGTGATGATGTCAGTTACCCATCAGCCTACCTGGAGGCGGTCCGTCCTGAGAACCGACTAGCTGACCCTAATACTGAACTAACATCTATTTGCTACCCTGTTTTCGAAGGAGATCAGAACAGGAATCTAACTAGGCCTACTAAAAACGGAGACCCGAGAAGCCTTTCACAATTTGTATGTAACGACGATAATGAAGGTATTCCGGCGGTAAATCAAGAAAGAGGCACCACTGATGTCGTAGAGAGAATAGTTATTGCTTCAGGTGTAGACTCCATCAAAGCCGTTCCGTACAGGTCCATTGACGGACAAATCTCCGACGACAGTACAAAATCCCACCCATTCTCGAGCAGTGAACATTGCCCTATGACCGAAGAATGTGACAGCGTCGGATCCAGCGACGACGGCGACGAACAGCGGAAAATATCGTTTGATTTAGAATTACAAAGTAATTTCTCCCAAGTAAATGATAATTTCGTCCCAGCGATATCTGACGACTGTCATCCAAATTTGGGATTGAATAATTTGATTTTACTTAATGGTAAACGAGACACTGATTCAAATTCCTTGCTAGTGGATATTGACGCCAACCATAAAGAAATATCGTATTTAGAAAATGGAATTCTAGAGGCGTACGATAATTTCGACGATACGGAGTACGATTTAGCATTTATAGACGATTCCTCTGATACGCTCGACCTTCCAGTTTTACTCAAACAAGATTTAGTATCGTTGCAGGAGGGTTTATTTGGTAGAGGGGAGCTTGATATTGTATTATCAGACGATGCGCAAGAGCAACAACTTTTGGAGACGAGGAATCGAGCACGCGAGGCTGCGTTCACCGCGGAGCTTGAACAAAGAGGGCAGCATAGATCGCTTTACGCAACGTACGGCGACCTGAGTCAGCTCGCTATTGATTCGCATGAGAATGGAACAGACGATGATGAAGATGAATTAATATGCCGGGCCCATCAGCTAGCTGCGCTACATAGTAATTCATCCACAATATCCACAGCACATCCGTCGAATAGCCGGGCGTTACAATCGATTTTACTAGCAGGCAATGAAATACATGCGTACGTTGGTAGCGACAGAAGGAGACAAAATCAGCATGCAGTACTCACTAAATCTAGGAGTTTAGACGATCCTTTTTGTGACAATTCTGGAATACGTATTTCTCCTTTAAATTCCACACAGAGGGGCGTAATATTAGTGGAGAGTTCCAACGACGAGCAAGTGGTCGACGAAAAAGGCGTGGACAAGGTGAGTAACCCGTCCGTATCATGCAAAGACACAAATGAAAATATAGAGACTAATATGGCTACTGTTGAGCCAGATATTAAGGAGGAGAATGTTGAACCTAAGGTGGAGAAAGATTCTGAAAGTAACTTGAAAGAAAATGCTGGAAATAATATGGAGGCGGAAAATGAAAATACATCAGAAAGCGCAAAGAATAAGGTAGATATAAAATGCTACGATGATGCAGTAATTGATGAAAACACACCCAGCTCTGCAGATAATGTGGATCAATGTGATGAAGAGACGAAGGAAGAACAACAGTCACTCAGAATTGATATCAATACACAGATATCAAATATGGACGATAGACACCAGTTAATGAGTAATCAGCTAATAGAATTTGCAGACAACAAATCTATCAAAGAAAACGAATCATTTATGAAATTTCTTGAGGAATTACGCTCGCATTTAGCATGTTCTCGTTCCTTAATGAATGACCTCGTAGAGGTAAACTCTAACCTAGAGAGGAAGAATATAGAAACTGCACAGGAACTAGAGGAGGCACAAGATCGGTTTCGAGAAGGAGATGTCAACGACTTCAGAGACCTACAGAAGGAATTAGAACAGGCGTCTAGAAATTGTAGAATCATGCAATTTAAGCTGCGGAAAGCGGAGAAGAAGTTAGAGGAGGATGCATTGGGAAAGAGTGATGGTAATGGTAAAAGTAAACCTAAAACACCAGACCTTCCTGATGGCGACCCTACCAAGGATAAAATACGCGATCTTAACCAACAGCTTGCCGTTGCAAAAGATGTATCTGTTCGTCTGCATCAAGAATTGGAAATGATTGAAGATAAAAGAACCAAATTAGACGAAGAAAATCAGCTATATCGGAAGAGACTTGAAGATTCTGATAGCACTAAGCAACAACTAAAACGGGACCTCGAAAAAATGAGAACGGAGGTAAGACATATTAATACATTCTTTATTTCTTTACTCATAATTTTTTGTCATGTTATGTCATTTAGCCTACTTTTGTGTGGATGGAATACCACTTCTTATACCTTGCCAAAGTGTAAGTTTAATTTATGTTTTCACAGCCGCGCTTCTGCAGATGTTGCCAGGAATATTTGCCCTTTTAATCACGTTACACATCTCGAAGCTGTAATTCCATAATTCGATTAATGTACAGTGCGTGCGCAGTTCCATCTCAAGCTGTTAGTGAACACCATGGTGAACATAAAGCATAATAGAATTAATTTTCAGGATTTAACGATGAATATATAATTAATTTATGCTCTTCTATGGTAGTAGGCCTACTTGCCGCGCTCTCAGCTTGGGTAGGTTCTGTATAATTAATGTTATGAATGTTCTTTTCGTTATGCCATGTTTGTGGCAGGTCAGACATGTACGTCAATAGCAGCACATTACTGAATCAATATTTAGAGAAGTTTTACAATGGGGACAAACTCCTTTAAATATTGTCCATGTTAGCCCACAGAAATATAAATTTATGTATAATGAAATAGAGAATGATAATTAATAGGCCTATAAACTATGTATCAATGTATTGGATTGATTATCAATATATTGGGCATGTGTTTACTGGACGAATACAAATTGAATAGAATGTGCAATTTTTAAATATAACACCGGAAAACGTATAGTCAATAATATAGGCCTACATGGAACAGCATGCATATCTCATTGAATGATTAAAGTATATGTTCATCTCTGAAATATAAAATTACTATATAATGCAGTATTATACCTATGAACATGTAGCCTATATCACTGCGTCGTTAGAATAACTTTTTTTTAATTCATTGCATGCTCCCCGTCCATTATTACGTTTAACATCAGAAGCATTGATTAAAATATTGTTGAAGGTCATTATTCAGAAGAATAATACAAACACATTGAACAAACATATTAACATACCCTCGTAAACGTCTATCAATTACAGTATTAGCATATTTCGTGCTTATTAAGATGCAACATGTAATCCAATCGGAAACTGCAATAAGGCATATCCCAAAAGAATAATGTTATGGATCGTAATCCAGTGATAAAGAAGGGCCTCTCGGAGAGATAAATAATAATGATAATAATAATAATAAATTGCTATTTATATAGCACATATTGCAAGAAACTGCCTCCATGCGCTAAATAACAATTAAAAAGGATTTTATGTACAAAAATGAAATGCATCTATAATAATGTAATATGCCTACATCATTAATATCATCATCATCATCATCATCATCATCATCATTTGCAATGAGACTCATGAGTCATTGCAAATTTGAACCTGTTATGTAATGCTTATAATTTAACCATACCTCACAGTTCATGATTAGCCATCGTTTAGTATTCAGTCAATGTATTCTTTGATGTACTGCAGCATCCAGAGTTGCAGTGAACCAGTGATAGGATCAATTTTGATTTATGAAAATCTATTTCTTTTTCAATGGAGGCCTATGTTATTAAGTTATCTCTATAATTGTGATTCCCTTGTTTGTTATGACTTCTACTTTATTTCGACAGTGTGATGTATGACCTATAGCCTATTAATGTCACTCAGCAATCCAAATTTAGATAAGCACAGTTGTCCTTATGATTGAATAGCTAAATACTATCTTTATGATAATGAGGCCAATGTTTTTGTCGAATCTAAACATGAATCGTGAATCGATTCGACGGACGGTCATGCATGCATGATCTGATTTTGCTACATTTTCCATCGTTGATGAGTTTCTACTTTGTCCAGGCTACCGATGTGTACGAGTCATCAAGAAGTAAAGCATAATGTTGTGTGGTACATTAAACAACGGTTACAGTATGATGAAAAAGTAACCGGTTTCAATGATATCGATTCCGTAAATCGAATAATCAAACTCGATAAAACCGATGTGAACATCAGAGAGAGATCAAAACATGCTTCAAATAAAGAAGGAATGTTTACCACAGCAATATAATTTACATTGAGCCAGACTGATTAAAGCTAAATGGAACGATGTAGGCCTTATGATATGTTTGAACAGCTGAAAATCGGCCTACGCAAATACATATAGGCCTATAAGTTAATAAATAGAGGTAAATTATGAGTTGATGAATAAATGAATATTAGGCCTGTACAATCCGTTTATAACCTGGCCGCGGAGGTGTTCGGAAGGAGAAGATATTTCAGTGTGTAAAAATGAACCATTCCGGTTAATGGCTGGTCTGAGCATAGTCTGAGTAGGCCTATTTGAGAACCAACAGCAGAGTTCCTGTTTGGCTTGTTAACATCCGCCCCCCCCCCCCACCTCGAAGCAACAGGGATTTCGCCATCCCCTATACAAAAATACAAAAAAATTTCACTGTCCAAAAGGAAACTCATACTATTGACAGAGCTCTTAATAAGATTTTAAAACATCATGAACTCTGATTCTGATTTAGATTTCTTTATTTTATGAGGTGCAAAAAATACATCGCAGAAAAAACTATTAAAAACACCCCGACAAAACGTCCCGTAGGTCGACCGAATTACCTTAAAAGAGGATTTTGGCCCATGGCCAAAATCCTCTTTTTAAGGAGGTAGGTGCAGATCCGCGTGGCATCGACAAAATTTCACTGGTCAAGAGAAGCTACGGCTTTATTATGAAATGAAAATAGTGTCAGTGATCCGCGACTGAGACAGATGAAAATATGTGAATGCTTACAATCCATAATAATATGATGACCTTATCGTAACCTTTATACGCCGCCATGTTTTCTTTAAAGCCTGTGAGCCCCTAGAGTGTCAAATAATAATTCAATCGTAATTTGATATACTTTCCAAGTCATCTGCTTGTAATAATACGATTATTTTAATGTGAGTGGAGATGTAGCTTAGTGGTTAAGGTAACTGCTTTCCAATGCCAGGGTCTTGGGTTCAAATCTTGTGACAGGGTTTTCTTACAACTGAAAAACATCTCCACTCACTCGCTAAGCCTTGTATCAAAGTTGTATGCCCATATGTTCCTGTATATGGTCATCTTGTGATGTCATCATGCCCATATTTAGCCATGTCACATGTTTTTGTCAAATAAAATCTGTTAGTATGAACAGGGCTTAATGAGACTTAGTTTTAAATAGCAGCGGAACTTCTCGGATAAGCTCTGTAAATGTGGTAAAATTATTTTCTGATAATATCGGAAATATTATAATATAGGCCTAATATAAACAATTAGAATTAGACAGCATCCAAGAGGTGTAGGCCCATTGGTTAAACGACGAAGATGTAATACCACCGGCAGCTCTACTAAATCATGAGTTGTCCTATCTGTGTTTTTTTGTTTGGAATGACAAATATTCAAAAAAAAAAAAGAAAAAAGAAAAAAAAAAAGGGTTTTCAATTTCAGATAGGGCCTGGGTGATCTGCTTTACAAAAATACTTCTCACGCACAATTTGTCATCTTTTTTTTCGATCTGTAAGTTGAAGCATCCTGAGACCGCCATTCTGTGATTGGCTGCCTTGCTGCCTAAGCATCATGTGATCATCCAGACGCGCTTTGATTCGCACTAGAGCAAGTTAGAATCACGCTGTCACGTCTAGTTGCTTGCGTTGCGTCGAAGTATGTAAATTCCTCCAGTGTGAACCAAACCTTAAGCTGCATTTACACAGATTCCGAACCGATATTCGGACCGCGTTTCCGAAGCGTCGAACCCCATGCGTCCATATTCTTATACATTGAATTGATATTCTAATCGGTTCGGTAGGCCTTCCGATCCGAAAATTCGAATTCGGTGTGAATGTACCTTTTAGTCACTGGACTTTTACGCGCGACATGATGTGTATTCATGAGAATGTCACCTTAGCTTAAAATTCAGCATGAATTAACAGACACAATCGCCGATGTGTTCAACGCGTTTTAAGGTAACCCCAGGAATATTGTCAGATGTTGATTAATCATGTCTCATCGTCATTCCTACCCGTAACCTACCAATTCACGCGCATGGATGGGCATGTATACCACAGCTAGTGGAAAATCAATACATTATACACGATTGAAAGGCGAACACAGTTCGATAGCCGAGCATTCGTTGACAATCCTGATCATCAACAAACTCACGACTCTTTAATACCCTGAATTATGACTTGTATTTTTTGTTAATTCCTAGTTATATTTTTATTTCTATGTCTAATGGAAATGTAAACTTTGTGAGTTATCTACTATCAGACTGGCCAGTTATACAACATCATATTGACCCGCCAACTGAAGCTCCGCAACATATATATTCTTTTTTCTATACGTAATTGATTAGGGTTTTCATAGCAACAATAATACGGTGGGTGGCGGTGATGTTGTTTTAGTTGTTGATGATGATGATAATAATGATAATGATGATGAGCAGTACTACATTAGTATATAAGCCTATGCTTACTCTTGTTAAAAGGTCTACACTAATAATCCTTGTATTATGTTATTAATAAATGATAATATAAATTAACGTTGGCTACCAGTTCGACAACCACTATTAAAACATTTAGTGTCGTGTAACCTAAAAGTGTATTAATTACCGGTACCGTAAAATCAACCGAACAAATTACACATCATCAGATGGGGAAATCTAAAGGTAGTTCAATCAGTATAATGTCTTCTAATTATTGGTGTTCTTCTGTGAAATAATGTTTTAACCATTGCAAGCATTGGCGTGATCGTGGGGTCTAGTCGTGAGAGAATTTCATTTAGGTCGGCACTGCGCCCGACGGTCGATTCTATGGAGGACGCGCGTGCAACGGATCGTTTTTAATGACAATCCGTTCAGACTACAACCGACAATCAGCAGACGGCGTTGCCTCTCGTCTAGCGCTAACAGGGAGCAGAGTTGTATTCGTCGTAAGGCGGTCGCGACCATCGTATGACGCAGTGAGTCCCCGGCTTCACGCACCCCTGAAATCATCCTTTACATTCGTAAATGTCAATCATCTGATCCAT